ACACAGTGTGCTGCATGACTCCTAAGGTTCTGGGATTTTTCACTTGTTCCCTTTTACTATTTTCACCTACACTCAATCACTATGCTCCTGCAGTCTTACAATTAGCATGTCTTCTTGTTCACCAACATACACATCAGCATCGACAAATTTCATCTGCATCCTAAAAGAACACAGTTGTCAAAGTCTTCTCCACGGTTAGGAATCCTTTCTCAAGGAATTTCACAAGGAATGAAATTCCAGGGAGCATCATGGTGAGTCATCCTCTTTCCTAAAATGTAGGGAAGTTATGTTGATGGTACATAAATGAGACCCCGGAAGATGGATTAACTATAAAATAGAATGATGGCCCTGATGATACAACATGGAAACAGCTAGGAATTGTGGGAAGAATTGGGAAATCATAGATATGGAGGCAGTGGTATTAGATCTGCTACTAATGCAGCAAGCCTAGAGTCCCTGCCATGACAGTGGAGGCCAGAGTTACAGCCAAATTGTCTACCCCAGCATGGGAAGCTAATCCTTCTTTTCCTGTTTGTTGCAGGTTTTTTTTTTTTTTTCCTTTGGCGGACGGTTCATTAATCTACAGACACATGATTAACTTTCATATATATATATATATATATATATAGCATTCAAATGTTCTTTAAAATATTCATTTAATGCAGTATTTTTCTTCAGGAAATAATGTGCTATAATTTATGGTGTGAAATCCGATAAAAGGCAGCTATTTAACACAGATTACTACTGCTATCAATTTGGGTACTATTATTTTTATTAAATACTCTGGATCTTTCAATTCTTTCTATCTTCAGCATTCTTTCTACTACAAGATAATATTCTTTCTCTGGAATGTAGCTAAAACGCATAATGTAAAATTTAGTTTAAGGCTTTGGACTCACATAAAATTAAAAACATTTTGACAATCTTAAAAATGTGAAATTAATTCAAGGAAAATGTTGTTCAGATCAATACTTGACCTGGTTTCCTATTGAGATCTAGGATTTTTTTTTTGATGTTTCGTGAGACTTAGCACAGTTAGTGTGAACAATAAAATGTGCATATTTTAAGTTTGAATGACAAATTAAGATGACTGAACTGAATGTGACTTAACAAATTTTCTAGAACAATCGGTAGCATTGTGAGCTTTTTACACAAGGTGAGCAACAGTTTTAAAGGAGCCAGACTTGAAGTAGCAACTATCTGTGGAACTAAACCCATGTCAGTGTGATTTAATTTGCAGCTCTAAGAGCTGATATCACCAGGGAGATTTCTGTACAGTCCACCTTGTCCAATGCTCAAGAACTTATCCCTGACCCCTTCTCCTTCAGACCTGCTTGGCTTCTCTAACTTTTCTGCTTTCCAGGATGGGCCTCAATCTCCCATTCTGACATTTTGCATTTCTGCCCTGTGGTCTTATTTAAAACAATATTCCCTTCTCCCTGCTCTTCCTCTAGGTCAGTCTCTCTCTCACAGATACTTTATTTTTTCCCTTGTAGCTACCCATTTAACTCCTGCTTTTTGCTCTGTATTCTTTTATTTATATTGATTGACTTTCAAATACCAAGAAGGCTTTCACTTGGTGGAGACACATTATTCAATGTTTATATACCGATTGAACACATTTAAATTGATTTTGTCAAATATCTGTGCATCTACTGTTATGTAGGATATTGATTTTACATTTCTTTATTCCCAGGAACTTATTCAGCATTCCCAAGTATTCTGCCTGCTTGGAATTCACTTTGTCCATTATTCTTGGCATTCACAAAGAAATTCTGAAATTGCCTTTTGCAAGTGTCTTTTAGAGGTGTAATAAATTTACTGTGGATATTATTCCCTAATGTGACCATAAAGGGAGGTTCATTGAAACAGCATGGTGCATTGCCATCCATATTATTCACTGGATCAAGAATCCTAGATTTTTGCTCTCCCCCACAGTCAAATGACCAGGAAATATGAAAGTATTGAACTGATTCAGGACATAGGCTCAGTCATCATGGGGCATGGTGTCTCATCACTTGGAGGTATAAAAGGGAAGGAGGAAGGGCGAATGCATTCCATTACTGGGAGAAGCTCCAGCCTTCCTCTTGGGTTTGGACCACATCTCCTGGCTTCCGGTGTAGACTCCTCAGCTTTCCAGCATAGACTCTTCAGCCTTTCATTATAGAGCCTTTGCCCTTCGCTGCAGACAATCAGCCTGCTGGTGTGGGCTTGCACAAGACACTAGGGTGAATTCCAGACCTTGGAATTCAGCCTCCAGTGTGTAGAAACCCTCTGCACACTTCCTCATCTGACTCTGGCTGACCATCCTAAGCCAATATTGTTGTTTCTTTTACATCTTTGTATCCTACGTTACATCTGTTCTCTCTAGTAAAACCCTGACTAATACAGAAGGTACTGGAATTTTGGTATTGAATGTAATGAAAAATCTAGAAGAGGAATTTGAGTGGAGTACTTGATCTAATATCACATAGCAACAAAACCCAATTTTTCCTCCTTCTGCATTCTAACTCCCATTGTTTCACTCACATATTAAGGAAAACTTTAGAATGTACTCACAAAGCCTGGAGGTTCATGCTACTTGCTCACACATGAAGTACTTTGCTCATATTGGAGCTGGACCTCTGAACATAATATCAGTTAGGTGAGCTCAGATGTCATCCAAACTGCCAGACCATCAAAGACCCCTATGGCCAAAGACGCTAATCTCTGTGGCAGATACAATTTCTGTCCTACATTTACTTTCTAGGATTGGCTTAGATTAATTATTCCCTGAAATAATCTGTCCACCAAACAGAACTTAAGCGATGTGGAAGGAGACAAGAATTACTTTAAATGAGAGGAGAAATGCTCACTCTCTCATGTATAACCTCAGGTCTGAGTTAAGGCACGTGCAAGGAAAATACAAGATGTGAGAAGACAAAACCCATATAAGGGACATATTATAAAATTAACATCTGCTCCACTTCTCTGCCCAAAGCTTCATGTTCTAGGAAAAATATAGAGAAGAGTAAAGCATAAATAATGGATGAGAAAGTTAGCGTAATGAAACTGGTCAAGCAATAGTGGTTCCAGTTTGTTTTTAGGAAAGTCATCAGTATGCCGCTGAATTATATGTTGGTGAACTTTTACTGTAGTGAGATGGTGGACTGAATTATTGATGTATTTAATGAAAATATGATTTGAGTCACTTAGCATTAGTGAATCTGTATCGGATTTTTTTTTCTGAGAAACAGAAATGTTCAATTGCCTGCACTTGTTCCCTGTTACTCTAGATCAGTCCCTATTGAGGAAGGAAGAGACACTCAATGAACCTCGACCCCAATTCCCCACTTTCTCTGAGTAATGGTGATGCTGCAGGGGACAAAAGGTCAGAAACCCTATAGTAGGCATAGCTGAAGAAATCTTATTTCTTCATTTCTTATACACTCCTTGCTGTAAAATGGATGTTCTATGGGACTGGAAGATCTGTTCAGTGTGCTCAAAATGTGTTCAACTAAAACAGTCTTGGTGCTGATACATTTAATTTTTTGATGTTTTATTAATATCATTACCCTGTTATTTTATAATTCAACAAATATTTTGTTTCATCCCAGTTAAATGAAGACTTGCCTACCAGGACTTAGAGCTACATTTATTCCACAGGAGGAGCATCTTAGATCTCTTGGAGCCAAGGAAACTTCTGTGAACTTGAGATGTTCATTGAGAAAGTGACTGAAACTGAAGAATAGTAACAGGGAGATTCCTCAGGAAGTAATCACGTTTTCTGAGTATTTCTTTTGTCATGAAAGAAATGCCAGAGGGCTGCTTTGTATATATTAAGATGTGTAGGATATAGATAACTAAGTGGAGCACCAAATATGTATTTAAAATTGAAAAAAGAATCTGAGATAGAGATATGAGTTGTGTACTCTCATAATTCCATCCAATGCCATAAATATATGCTCTGTACTATGGTCATGGGTATAAGTTTAAATAAAACTCTGAAATCATACACTGACATAATAAGAAATCTAGCAAATATAATTTTTATTTTCAATTTGTATCAGTTTTGTAAGAGATTTCTGAAATTTGTTGAGAAGTATAGTTTGAGGGTTATACCTTAACACTTGAGGACACATAATCACATTTCCTAGATGAAAGGCATTTTTGAGTAATCTTTTAGATATTTAATGCCATGGCTCAGCACTGTGAGCTTTCTATGACTCTTCTATTCTCTAACGATTTACCTAGGCTCCTCACTGAGAGCTCTAATCATAGCATTTCTCAGGAGACACAGTGCTGAGTGGCGTAGACAGCTGGACTGAGGCAGGATGGAGTCAAAGTACCAATTCCTCCTCTTCCTGATCTCTGAGTCTCCAGTGTGAGGTTCAGAAAAGTAATTGTTTAAAAGTGAATATTGATATCATCACGTGGAAGGAAACAATTGCTTACCTGTCTGATATTTTGATAAACTCAATATTTCAGATCTTAATACATTGGAAATGTGAAAGAACCCATTTATAATTACAGACACTTGTAGGACACCATGAAGACGCAGTCTCCAGGCTTCTTGGTTGTGTTTGCAAGAGAGAGGGCCACCATCAGTTCCAATTCCATGGTCCTTTATTTAAGCTCCAACCACAAGAACTCCTTTTCCTGGTAGCAGAATAAACAAGGACAGGATCTTACACTGATAATTTCCTTGGCATCAAACTGGGCCTCTTAATCAGCTTTTTATTCAGAGAAAATACCTTCCAAGCTGTCCAGTAGAACATTCCATGCTACCCTGATCAAAGTAGCATCATCACAGAATGACTTAGATATTTTTGCCACGAATGTAAATCACTTCAGAACAGAACTAGGATCATCACTCTCCTGTAAAACTTTCTAATTTTTATGAAAAACTTGAAGTATCACATGGCTGAATAAGCCAGGGAGCACCTGCAACCTGATGATTTGCATATCCCTTGCTCAGAAACCACAAAATGCTCAGAAATGTTTTTAAGGGGTGATTTTAAGAGATGTGTTTAGCCTGAGGCAGAGCTCAGAAAGCACAATGGTTTTTCAAGGTCAAATTCTCACCTTCTTGCTTCTCAGTGTCACAGGTAAGGATAAAGAAATCTCAAAACTGATCCTCCTTTTACTATAGAAATTGAGATTAAGGGGGTTTGTTCTGTGTATTGTGTGACGTGACATTCCTGTGTATCTATCTGTACCAACTTCTAACATATCTTTTCATCTCTCCTCCTTGAGCATAGTGTCCAATGGAAAAATTGTGCTCACCCAGTCTCCAGCAACCATGCCTGCTTCCCCAGGAGAGAAGGTCACCATCACCTGCACAGCCAGCTCCAGTGTAAGCACTAGCAGATTGCACTGGTACCAACAAAAGCCAGGAGCCTCTCCCAAGCTCCTAATTTATGAAACATCAAACCTGGCCTCGGGAGTCCCAGCTCGCTTCAGTGGAAGTGGGTCAAGGACTTCTTTCTCTCTCACAATCAGCAACGTGGAGGCTGAAGATTTTGCAACTTATTACTGTCAGCAGTGGGAGAGTGATCCACCCACAGTGATACAGACTACAACAAAAACCCCATCAGCCCCCCAGGCCCAGCTGCTTCTTCTGCAGAGTCTATGATATCATTAGAGGCTTGGCGTGAGACAGAAACTCCTGATTCTTTTCTAGTGGAGCTGAGGAGGTTTGGCTTCCTCCAAGAGGAAAGGAAATCTAGAGATGGGAAAGATGAAATGAGGTGAACCAGGAGGCTCCCTTGTATAGCAGCCTGTCCAAAGAAGCCTTGCAGGGGTGTGGTGCAGATACCCTGAGTTGGACTTTGATTCTCAGGTTAAGATACTAAACTGTGGAACAAATTCCCAGGACCTTGGGGCAAGTGTGCGCCTAGGATTGTTCCCTCTTTTATGAGGAGCAGTGATGGAAAACTAACAGGCCTGTCCTAGATCTTAGTAATCTTCAGACACAGTGACTGTATTTCAAAATTGAAGAATTTCAGAGTTGAATCCATCATCAATCCTTCCTTTTGAGAATGCCAAAATTATTTTCATTGAGTAATTTTATTGTATCACAGTGGAATAATGTGGATATAGCACATAAGAAAATGTGCAAAGGATCTAAATTATGACAAAATTCTCTTATTTATGGTCCCTTCTTGTGGTTTGTAACCCTTCTTTTAAGGGGCTGGCATTCAAGATGAACATGTGGAAAATATGACACCTCCATCCTTAGTGGCAGTAACTCTGGCTTTCTGAATCATCTCGAAAACAGCAGGAATATAAGTGCATACTCACTAGCTCAGGGATGAAGACTGTACTATTGAGGTCAAGTCCTACTTATTGAGAGTAGAGGGAAATAGAATTCATAAACAGAGAAAGACATATTGCTTAGCTACAAATACAGACTTGGTGTTATAAATGGCAACCTTTCTTACAAATTGGCACTGAGCATTTTCTACATTTTATATCTTACCTTACTTTTATATTAAAAGCATAGAGATTCACAATAAATAAAACATTCTGTTTTCAGTAATGCTCTTTTTACTGCATGCTTGAATACTTTTTTCAGTTCCTGTTTTGGGTGATCCTTCTCAGCCTCTTTAGAGATGGAAGAGAGTATAGAGAAGAATATAATGACCCAGGAAAATATAAAAATTACACTGTACACGTGGGACAGTGAAATGTTGTACTCGTTTGGCCCACAGAATAAAGTGCATTCTCTGATGGCAAACCCATGCAGAATTAGAATACGTGATGTGTATACTCTCCTCAACTCAGTGACATGTATGTTTCATATACTGACAACATATGTAGGGTTGTTAACTAAGATTTCAAATTTTGTGTTTACATTCAAATAGAGTATATAAATGCAGTTATGTATTCAATTTGGTTATAGCTCTCTTGAAAGAATATAGTTTAGTAAAAATGTGTTATTTTTTTCATGTTTTCCTGAGCAGAAACAACAAAGATATAAGTTTTAACTGTTTAGTTTGTTTCTGTGCCTTTCTTAAGTATGCTACAACATCACTTTTCGGTTATGTACATACACAAAGTTAAGCTTGGGGAACCCAAAACTCACAGGTGTCAGGACTTGGTAGCTGAAGGACAAAGTTTAGTTGAAGACAGAAAAGGGGCATGAGCAAGAATCTCAGAAACTCAGGACTCATGTAGTATATTATATGGAATGACATGCAGAGAAAAGACAGAGCTGAGCTTACAGAGTGGAAGACCAAATCCCTGATGTTTGTAGGACTAGAAGGAAGTGAAGAGGCAAAGTCTGTTGTAGTCAGGGTGTGAAGAGAACAATTAGATTCAGGACATACAATTTATAATACTGTTTTATGATGGTCACCCAGAGTTAAACCCAAGAAACTGCAAGAAATCTGTCCACAACCCTAAAGACACAAAATGTTCACCCAAGGGCCAGGATCCCAAAGCAATATCTTGCATGAGTCCAGATGAAAACCTAGAGCCCATAACCATGCCTCCCACAATACAGCTGAAAGTTTAGAGCCCACAAGAAGGACTCATTCCAGGCTGTTTCATGGATCCACACTGGGAAGCCCAAAGGTCAGCTGTGGAAGCTAGAAAGCCTATGCCCACAGGGTTAAGGAGTTGAGCTGTTAGGATGAGAGTCCTCCAGTGTAGCCAAGAAGTCATGCTCAAAAAAAGGGCCAGACCTGTCCTGAGAAGAATGACAACCATCCTCAGCAACATGGAGGTCCCAAGCTCCTCTAATGATTAAAAAGAGTTGAGTACATTCCGGAAATCCAGCATGATGATTTTATCCTGGAGATTAAATGGCACATATCTTCCCTTCCAGAGCCAGAAAGTGATGCTCCATGTAAGGACCACAGCTCTCCCAAAGTGAACCACAACCATTTTTACCAACAAGGACCCAAACTCTTCCAATGACAATGGTCCAACACACACTGGGGAAGCCAGACTTGATATGCTCCTCCAGGAAAATGAACAGCTCAAATAGCAACACTTGGAGAAAATCATAATGCCTCATTTGCCTTCTCCATGTTGCTATGCTGGAAAATTTCCTCAGGTAGAAGATCTACACTCAGCACCATATTTATTTAATTCAGCTGGTGTTAAATTGACCATCAGCTCTTCATCCATAATAAAGCCTTGTAAGGTAAGGGCCACAAAAAGTTTAACTGGAGAAGACAATTTACACTGGACTTACAAATTCTGAGCATAGCACACATTCTAATTTGCATTGCTTTATGAGTTACTATTACACTACTTTAACTACTGGTCTTTCCTTTTTTTTTTTTTTTTTTTTTTTTTTTTGGTACTGGGGATCTAATTCATGAGCACATGCTTGCAAGCAGGCGCTTATGCTGTTGAGGAAAATCTCCAGCCTCTTGGTCTTTTCTTTTGCCAAGATCTTCAAAGACTGAAGCAGAGAGATAGACACTCTGCATTAAATAATGTGCAAATGGATTAAAATGAAGAAGTCAGGAAACTTCCTTGTAGTTTCTCATGTTGTGGTCTATCTATTTACATCTTCTCCTCTTTGGAAAGAAAACATGAAGAGCACACTATATGCATTAACTTGGAATAGATCTCTTGAAATTACAGGAAAACAGATTGATGCTCTCTTGTGACCTTTAGAGGCACCCACAGTCTCTAAAGTCAAATAGGTCCTCTAATAGACTAATCAGAGTTCCTAGGAACTTTGTGCATGTGCATATATATAATCCTGAGATGCTTGCAGTCTTTGCCAATGCTTGAGGATTGTCATATAAAAACGCATAGTCTACTACTTGAGTTTTTCTCTGTCTGTCAGTCTGTCTCGCTCTCTGATGAACGGAGTTAAACCAATAACATTATCAGTATCAGGCTCACCAAGGGTATTTTCTATAATCAAACAGAACACTGTACCTCACAAATCCTTCATTTAATTCTAAAGTCAGGTTAAAAAATCCATTCCTGAAGTCCTATCTTGCTCTCTTGAGACTCCTCCACTGCAACACCACCACGGTTCATGGTGAGTGGGACAATAGAAGTCCACTTTAATTCAGTGACTCTTCATCCTCCAGCAGGGACAGAGTAAAAGATAGTGCAATGAAAGACTTGAGTTTCCTCAAAAGAAAAACTCAAATATAAAATCTCCATTATAATAAGTTATTCCGTATTCCATAATTGTATCCATGACACTCAAATTCAATTTATTATATTTCTGAAACTTGAAACCACCCAGCACAGAACTCAATGACAAGAATCTCTGTTCTGTTGTCATAAATGACAACAAAATACATTTTGATCATAGCAGAACACTTTTTACTGTGTTTAATGATTATATCTAAAGAAGATCACTTATTTCATTTTTACTCCTCCATTTTATCTCACAGCATGAAGTTTTCCTTGTCAAAGGGTTAAATTACTCATTTTTGTTTTCTCCCTCAGATCTGTAGAGACTAATGCATAGAGCTCTCACCTATTCCTTCTGTATTCCTTAATACACACACTTTATATTTTTTCCTCATTACATTTTATGTCCCTTTATCTCCTAAATTGGGAAAATGTTATTTTGATTCCTGAATTTTAGAATATATGTGAAAACATAGACACTTAAAGAAGTTGCATAGCATTGGTCAATAAATAAGACAGTAGTCAATTAAATCCCCTAGACACAAATGACACCAGAACCATTATGAAAAGACCATCACTGGGGCTGGGGATTTAGCTCAGTGGCATAAGCACCTGCCTTGCAAGCAGGTGGTCATGAGTTCGATCCCTGGTACTGATAAAAAAGAAAAAAAAAAAAGAAAAGAAAAGACCATCACTCATGCTTTTGTCCTCTCAGCATGGTGTTCCTTTGTTTGCTGCATTTGCATGGGTCTGTAAACTCAGAGAGTAAGTTTAAGACCTGGTAACCTATACTCTGAGTTACTGTGCATGTGTTCTTTCGAGTGCCAGTATTCCTCTATTGATCCCTAACTACAAAATATATTCCAACTGTAGAACCAGATTTATTTTACAATCTCAATGTTTTCATTAACTTTGTTTGTAACAAAAAGGACTTAAAGGGAGAATTCTGCTATCCATGTTAAAACTATTCTGTTTACCTGATCTGGTGACACTGGTGCTATGCTCCCTGGGGCTGTGCTGAGTTGATGTCAGGAGCTTGTCCTGAAGGTGTTCCAAGCCATGCTGATTTGAATGTTCCCAGAGCACAGCCCCTGCCCTCCAAGAATACTTAATAGACCAGTCAAAACCTGAACAGGAATGTCTCCCAGTCAGGAATCAGCACAGACATGAGGGTCTACAGTCAGCTTCTGGGGCTCCTGCTGCTCTGGCTCCTAGTTATGGTAGGAAAACAATGGAGCCTAATGTGGTCATCCTGCCTGATTCTTTGGAAATGCTCTCATTTATCATGTTCAATTGTGTGAATGTTTGGTTTTTGTTTCTAATGGTAGGCACCAGATGTGACATCTAGATGACCCAGTCTCCCTCTTCCATAACTGCATTGATAAGAGAGGCAGTCTCCATCCAATGCAAAGTGTCTGGTCATAGTTAAATGGTTAGCTTGGTATCAACAGAAATCAGGGAAGCTCCTAAACTTCTAATCTGCTGTGCAAACAGTTTGATATCTGGAGTCCAATCAAGGTT